TTTTGGCTTCTTATGGCTTGGTTTGTGAGTCAAAGTTGCCGTAGCTTTTCTTGCTGATTTGCTCTTTGACGGTTTCGCTTTTATTCGTCTTTATAAAATTGCCTGGGGAAATTCCTCTTTTAGTAACAAGTCCGGACAATACCCCGCTCACAACTTAACCGATTTAAAACAGTCCGGCCACCAAATGGTCGTATTTCTACTTCTCAGTTCAAAAAGCTAACTATGCTTACCAATCATAACCCGGTCGACATTTGATCAGTTTAAAACAATCCGGACAATACATCGTCCAACCTTGGACCGATTTAAAACAATCCGGACAATACATCGTCCAACCTTTGACCGATTTAAAACAATCCGGACAATACATCGTTCAACCTTTGACCGATTTAAAACAATCCGGACAATACATCGTTCAACCTTTGACCGATTTAAAACAATTCGGACAATACATCGTTCAACCTTTGACCGATTTAAAACAATCCGGACAAGCTTTGTCCTGACAAAATCCTTAAGCAAAATTTTTTGATTTCATTCAAATAATAAACAAGATTCATATAAAACCAATAAAAGTTTTATGCAAAAAGAGTTTAGAAATTACTCACCTTAACAAGCTTTTGAAATCAAACACTTGAAATCAACTTGATCTTGAAATCAGACACTTGCAATCCGTTCAACTTTTCTTCTTTAAATCGCACAATTTTATCAAAAGGCAAGAAGAAGAAATATGGAGGCTAAGCCCTCCTTTTATACATTTCCAAAACTGGAAAGTCGGCTAACAGCCCCTTTTTATAATAACCAATTCATGCACATGCATGCATACTCAAAACCATGCACACATACATACATCTATACACACAATGCATTTCCTAATATGTATGTGTGTAAAATATTATATATATATATTTCTACATATATACATATTCTGATACACATAACCACATTATACAATTAATTTTCACATACCAGCATGATCAAACGTATCAATTTATCATGCTATCATGTAATCATTTAATCAGATAATCACATATTAATTACCTTAGGTGATAATCAGGATCCGGTTATCACAGCTAGCTTCTTTAAAGAGTATCTCTCTCTTATCGATAGAAAATGCGCAGATGTAGACAGACGATCAACAGTTACCCAAATCGCGTCATACCCCTTTGGAGTTCGAGGCAATTTCATGACGAAATCCATAGTAATGTAATCCCATTTCCATACAGGTATCTCTAAAGATTGAAGGCTTCCATATGGCTTCTGATGTTCAATATTAACCTGTAAACATGTCATACACTGTTCCACATATCTAGCTATGTCTCTTTTCAATCCTGGCTACCAATAAAAAGGTTTCAAATCTCTATACATCTTATTGGTGCCTGGATGAATAGAGTATCGAGACTTATGACTTTCATTTAATATTGTGTTTCGGAGATCTCCAAAACATGGTACCCAAATTCGCCCTTGAAAGCACATTAGTCCCTCGTCATTCTGTTCTAAGGTTGAAATCATCTTACCCAACCTTTTTTTTTTGAACGGAAACCAGGCAATTTTATAAACCATAAAGAAAAAGTACAGCAAAGCAACCAATTAACAGACCACTACCAACACAACAAAACAAACGACTTGGAAAAAACCCCAGACCAAGCCACCAAAAGCCAAAACAAACAAAGCCCAACCGACTCAAACAAACAACTAAAAATAAAGAAAAGGAGCTTAAAACGCACAAAAGCTCCCCTAACACAGCAAAAACCCACAAAATCAACCAGTATTGCCCAACAACCGTTTCTCCAACCAAGCCACACGAATTTCAAGAGTCTGAACAATGGCTTGAATAATCTGCTCAGTATTCCGACGATCCCCAGAAAAAAGTCTTCTATTCCGTTCCTGCCAAATGAAATAAACCGAAGCCGCTACCGCATGTTTCTGATTTAATCGCTTTGGACGATGATTAGAATCCAAAAGAGCTTCCAAAATTTGATCCCACACATAAGGCATAGTAGTCAAATCAACAATACGTAAGACGTTGCCCCAGACTTCACGAGCAAAAGTACACTGGAAAAATAAATGTGCATGGATATCCACACTCTGACCGCAAAACGAACACTCTAGGTCAGGAGGTTCATCCTTCCAAAGTAAATGGTCTTGAGTAGGAAGACGTTGCTGGCAAGCAAGCCATAAACAAAAAGCATGTTTAGGAATATGACCAGAAAACCACACCAATTTATACCAAGGTACAACCGGATAAGAACCATCCAACGATGCCCAAGCATTTCGAACTTCAAATCTCGAACAAGAAGTAAAATCATCCCCCCAAAGAACATGATCCAGAAGCGAATCATTTAATGGAGAAGAATTAAGCACATCAAACCTGGCACACCAATCATCAGGCCTAACTCCATTCAATCTCATGACAAGCTCACGAACCGTAGTAGCAGGAGAAAAACCACAAGAATAGATAAACCGATAAGTCATAAAAGCCGAAAGAGGACCACAAGGAAGCCAAGAATCCTCCCAAGCATTAGTATCCGTACCATCACCAATTTGAGACACAAAGTACTGTCGCACATGAAGCCTTATGTCTAATAGTTTACGGAAAACCCACGACCAAGTAGAATTTTTCCGTACCAACCAGAAGTGATTGGTTCTAAGATTATGACTATAAATCCACCGAACCCACAAAGAATTATGATGGCGAACAATATCCCACACATGTTTAGCAAGTAAAGCCCTGTTCCAAGTCACCAACCGTTTAATACCAAGACCCCCCGATTCTAGAGGATCATCCCTTGGAGCCCATAAAAATTTACGAAAGATCGATTCAATATCATGAATTACACCCGACGGAAAAAGGAAAACATACAGCCAATGCAATTGAAGCGATTGTAAGACCGCTATAATAAGTTGCCTACGTCCTCCGAACGAGAGAAACATAGACTTCCAATCAAAATACGACTTTTAACCTTAGCAAGCAAAGGTCTATAGTCACTAATTTTCAAACGAGCATGAGATAATGGCACTCCCAGATAACGAACAGGAAAAGTGCCAAGCTTAAATGGAAGGCAGACCAGAATGGCCTCTCTAATAGAATGGGGCACATTACCAAAATAAATTTCGCTCTTTTCAAGACTTGGCTCCAAACCTGAACGATGTTGAAAGAGAGAGAGAGCTTTTTTAAGAACCTCCACCGAATGAACATCACCTTTAGTAAATACAAATAAATCATCAGCAAAACATAGATGAGTGATACCCAACTCCTCACAACCGCGATGGTACTCAAAATCAGAAGCCTCCCTGATACAAGTCTTAAGGAGCATAGAAAAACCCTCCATAATAATCGTGAATAAATATGGAGATAACGGATCACCTTGCCGAAGACCCCTTCCACCATGAAAAAACCCATAAGATTCACCATTAATTGCAAGCGAGTAGGAAGTAGTGGACACCATTTCCCTAATCCACTTAATCAGAACCGGGTGAAACCCTAAGCCCTGCATCATAATAATGAGAAACCTCCAATCTACCATATCATAGGCTTTTTTAATATCAATCTTGAAATACAACCAAATTCATAATAATCAGTTCTATATGCTTATCAATCTGTATGAAAACAATTCATATCCAAAGCTCTTAATACACTCACCTTTTAGAAGTTGAGAATCAAAACCTTTTGAAATCTTCTTCTCCTTCTTGTGCAGTTTTTCAAATCCTCAGAGAAAACACTTTCCAAATATGGTAAAAAGTGTCCTCTTCATAAAAAAAATCTATATATACTTCTTATAAAAAGTGGGCGACTTCACTAGCCGACTCCCTTTTCATTTCTTCTTTTAAAATAATACCCACACACACATACATATCATACATATATATATATATATATAATAAATATATACATATATATATATATATATATA